TCCTTCCCTCACCACAGTGTGCCTGTGAAAATGCGAGCTCGATTCAGCTGCCAGAAAAAAAGACGTTTGGAAAATATACATTGCTCTCCTGTGTCCTAACCCCTGTAAAATATGGGTTCTGGCTGGCTCTTGTGTGTGATGCTCAGTAATTTTACAGAAGGGAAAATATCATCATCACAGCACTTAATACAGTGAGGTCTTAGTTTGTGCCAGGGCTCCTGAGTGCCATTCGGAGCATTATTAAATGGATTATATTACATATAGATGCAGATAGAGGGCAAACGGCCCAAGGCTGTGCTCGGGATGTTAAATGTTTCTATTGAGCTCTGCATTCGTGGGTCTTGGTGGCAGAGCAGGGTTACGCTGGTGGAGGGAGCCTTCCTTCACCAAAGGAAAGCTTGGGAGTACTTTGCATTAATTTGCACGTGGGGTAACCTGCATCCCAGAGCTTGCTAACTTCTGTGGAGCTTGTTGATACAGCCCCAGGCTTGTGACAAGGCTGCTTCTTAACATAGTTGTATAGAAGTGCATCAGAAACCTTGCGAGGTGCTTTGGCTGTATCATAAATCATGTAGCACGTTACCTGACAAAGCATGTACTAAGAGCAGTCACTGTGATTATCTGTAATTCTTGATAATTGGTAGAAAAACATTGTTAAGACTTGGCTTTGTTCATGAGAGTGATTTTAGAGATGTAGAAGGGTCTTTGCAGTTTTAGTTCCCTGCAAAAGGATTTCTCTTCGTGATTCGCATTTTAGTTGTGCTTTTGCTGATTTTTAGGTAGGTTAGTGGGATAAACAAAATTTCTGAGTTGTACACTGACTGAATATGCATTGAGTCCTGGGTGGGAACTGTGCAGCTCCTCATCCATCCCCAAGAAGTGCAAAAGGGGTAAGAAAAACACATGTGATTTGGTTGTGCCCCAGAGTGAATGTGAAATTCATGCTGCCAGCAGTCGAGTACGCTGAGCTCGGCACCCGAGTGGCTGCTGGCAGAGGGAAAGGGGTGCAAGGAGTGTTGTGCTTGCTGTGGATGTGCTGGGATGGGGAAGGTTACTGTGGGGCTGGGAGCACAGCAGTGCTGGAAACAGCAGCAAGGTGTGGTGTTTTTTTTTTTTTTTTCCTTTTTCCTTTTTCCTTTCTTTTCTCTCTTTTTTTTCTCATTTTTTAATGAATATTCCTTTTATCAGAAAGGCACCAGCTTTACCTTGCAAGGGCTTTGCTTTCTGGGCTTTGAAGGGCACGTGGTGACCTTGATGTTTCTGTCCCTTCGCGCCTGCTTTCTGCCTTGGACTCCGCTGACCCTGAAGTTTGGATGTGTTTCCCTCTGCTGCTTCATGGCTTTAAACATAAAGAATGAATTCTAAGGCCGGGAAGTAGTCTGCTAAAATAAACCTGCAGGGTGTTGCTCTTGGAAGGGTTGTGGTGGGCAGTGATAACTGGGCTGGATACTGCAGTAAAGGGGAGAAGGGAGGCTGAGACTGGACTGCAGTGGGAACCAGTGGCTGGAATAAATATCGCCCGAGTGGGGCAGGAAGGGGCAGGTTGTCTCCCGCAGATCAGACCCGGCTCCTGAGCCTTTCTGCCGAGTTCCCAGCGATTTAGACAAATGGCCAACGTCAGACTTCTCTAAGTGGTGTTTGTGCTGAGCACTTGCAAGGGCGACTTCCCATCCAGCTGCTAAGCAGCAATCCTTGTACTTCGGTCTGGCTGGGAGCTGCTTTGAGCCTTTCTGTGGCAGGAGCTTTTGCAATTTGAGCTCCCCTCCTCCTACCCCCCCAAAAAAAAGGATGGCTTCTTCTGTGAAAGAAAGCAGCAGAGCCAAGCAGACATTATCCCCTCTCCGGAAGGAGGGATCCAGGCTCCCTGGGGAGGAGGGGACGGGGGAGCAAGTGATTCATTGCAGCTGCCTGTAGTTTGGCCTCCTTCTCTCCCGCTGCCCTGGGTGCCAGGGAGTGACAGCTTGTGGGCAGCAGGCCAAGCTGTGAAAAGAGGAGTGTGTGAGGCCTTCAGCTTTCTCATGCTTTATCAGGCTGCAAAGAATAGCTCGATATTCAGGCGGCGTTGCTGCAGGTCAGGGGAATGGAAATGGCGATTTAACTCCTGACACGCCAGCTGATTTTATTTTTTTTTTGAGACGCTGGCTTGACCACCCGCTCTGCGGGGAGCAGGGGCCGTTTTCCTGCGGGGTTTTTTATGCAGCAGCGTGCTGAGCAAAAAGAAAGGAGCATTGGTGCCGCGATGGAGGTACCTCTCTGCTAGCTGGGCAGGCTGGGGGAAGGACGCAAGGGGGGCTGTCCTCTCCTGGCTCGCTGCCCATGTGCTAACAGGGGTGCAAAAAGGCAGTGGGAGCCCCGGGCGCCGTGGGAAACAGCAGCGGGAAGGGCCCGTCCTGGAGCCGTCTCCCTTTTCCCGAGGGCCCCGCGGCGGCCGGTCGCGGCCAAGGGCTGCCCGTCGGCGCCGAGGGGGTTAAGCGCAGGCGGCTGCCGGGGGCTGCCCACCCCGGGGGTGTCCGTGCTCCATTCCCACGGCTTCTCCTTGCTGCCTACGCCTGGGGGAGGGATAATTCCTGGAACAAAGTAAAATGCCCCGAGGCCGGAAAGCAGCATCCCGGGCCCCTCTGGCCTTGTGTGTTGGGCTGGGAGAGATCTGCGCTCCGACGACCTGGATGGTGCTGGCGCTGCTCGGTCAGCTGCTGTCTGCGGGGTAAAAGCACGGATTTATTGCCCTGCTTTAGGCAGAGCGAGAGGGCCTGCGGGCAGTCAAGTTCCTGCCAAGGGGCTTGAGATAAATTGTTGCTCAGCTGGAAGTCTGCAAGGTGGGAAACAAGGTCCAGCACTTGTGCGAGCAGCTCGTAGCCCAGGGTAATATACGGCCTTTCTGTCTGAGTGCTTGGAGGAGGGCTCTTCCCTAAAGGACGTGCAAGTTTCCCAAAGGCGTAAAACAGCAGGGCTCGTTTTTCCCAGTCCTGACTCCACCTTCTTTCGCGCTCTGTTGAGCTGTTTGAACCCGCGGGAAGTGGGGAAAAGGGGGAAGACTGGGGGAGGTTTGAGGGGATGAAGGGTTAATGCTCTCTTTGAGTGTGGCCTGCGGCTCCCGCGGAGCCCGAACCCTTGTGGCTCCGTTGGCGCTGCCAGAGGGAGCAGGCCCTGCGGCCGGGCGCATCCCCCTTCTGCATGTGGTGCTAGTCCTGACCAGGAACAACCCGCGAGCAGAAAGGGAAGGAAATACCAGTCCAGACCCCAGAAATACCAGTCCAGACCCCAGAAATACCCTCTGAAGTCCTCACTGAAAACCAAGGTGTTGGGTCAATGTTCTCTACAGCTTCTGGAGCAAAGCACTGCTGCGGTCTGCGCAGCTGGGACTAACAATAGCGCAAACGGCGGCTAATAACGGGGCTGGAGTGCGGTTCCCTGCGTCGGTCTGCGCTGCAGACCCTGTTGTGCCAGGAAGCATGGCAAGAACGTGGCTGGAGGCTGGAGTTTTGCTGCCCTGTGGGAAGTGCTGCCGAGCTCGTGCTTCCCCGGGGCCCGCGGGGGAGAGGTCGTGGGAAGCAGCGTGGTCGGCTCGGGGCAAAGACCTGACTTGTGAGTGCAAGGGAGCAGCACGGGTCAGCAGCTAGATACCAGCACAGAGGGGAAACGGTGTCTTTGCAAATGTTTTACAAACAGTTTGCAGAGGTTCTTCCTGGCGGCAGGATCTTGCTGGCTGTTCAATGGCAAAATCCTAACGACCAGTCAGCAGCAGCGCGTGTTCAGCTGTGTGCTCAATGGTCACTACACCCTGCTTCCAAGCATCCCGCTGCTCCTTGCTCTGTCCCTTTGCCCGTCCAGCAACGGGAGCTGTGGCTGATCCGAGCGCTGGGGCACGGAGGAGCCACTCTGGCTTTTGGAGGCACTAGCTCATGGCCAGGTGCGGCACGCCGCATTTGCCGCCGTGCTGCTGGGGGCCATTCCCATTGTGCAGCTCCTGGCTCGCTCCCATCAAACCTCTTCCCTTATTACTCCTGCCTTGAGCTGTCTCGGGCCCTGGGGCTCTGTTAGACCTGCCCTTGAGAGCCGCGCGGTCCTTGGAGAGCGGCCGCTCCGGAGAAGCGCTGCAGTGGGCTGAATCGAGGCTGTTTCAGGCTGCGCAGCCCCGAGCTAATCTCCCAGAGGCAGAGACATTACTCACCAATCAGGAATGTGTCTGTATTTTTCCTAATGAGAACAAAACATTTTATCCCTGTTCATTAGCGGAGAGTTGGGGGGTACTGTTGCTATGCCAACAGACTCCTCTCCCTGCAGACACACTGGGGGTGTCTTCCATGCCGTGGTTCGAAGGGTGAACAGGAAGGCTCGCTCTGGAAAGAAAAAGATCCCATTGTTTTCCCCGGCTGCCTGGACTTTGTGCAGCTGGCCAGACTTCGTCTCCTCAAGGGGAAGGGAACCGCAGCAGGAGTCAAGTGCAGCAGGGATTTAATTTATTGGAAAAATAGTCTTTGCATTTCATCTTATGTTGTTTTTTCCAGCTTGAGGCACACTCTTCAATAAGAGAAATGAAGGTGTCTCAACGTTCACAAGAGTCCAAATGGTAAGCAAAACACGCCGGGAGTCAGCACCGGGGCACCCATGGGTTGTGCAGCCCAGTGGTCCCTAACTGTTCCTCATCATTCTGTGCACTGTGATACTGGGCAGCCTCTGGATGCTGCTACGTAATAAACGTGCCAAAAGAACTGCACCAACTGTGGTTAGTCGAACAAGGGGGTTCCCACATGCGCATGGTCCATGGGAATGGGGGGGTGGCATTATGTGAGAATGGGAAGTCATTCCCTTTATGCTGGCTCCTGGAAGGGATGGGAGGCCATCCCTTCAGCAGCAGCAGCATTATCTGCAGAGCTCTGCAGGAAGCCGGTGCATCCAGTGGTTGTCTCTGCCTTTTCCCCTCCCTGTTTGTCTTGGTCCTTCTCCCCAGTGACCACCGCTCTTTGTGAATAACCAGCTGGGATCTGTGGACTCAGAGGTGCCATCACCCTGCAGAGAGGCCTCTCTGCACCTCAGGTGCTGCACTGCTCTATCTCTTGCAATATAACAGGGGATATTTAAAATTTGAATTTTCTAGAGAAGGGAAGAGGTGTAACTTGCAGGCAATGGAGTATTTGCAGAGACCCCAAGGCTAGCAAAGTACCAGAACTGAAAGAAATGTGCTCTTTGAGCACAATATATTGCCAAAATGGGCCAGCAAGTGTAGCCAAATCTGCAGACAGCTCCCTGGAGTCAGGGGTGATGTTCGTATGTGGCTGCCAATAGGCAGGCAACGTGATGAGCTGCTTTGCACTGCCGGAGCTTAGTGCTGACAGCTAGAGACCCTTGAAGAAGTGACTGCCTGAAGCTGAGTTCTCGTTCGAGGCTGCTTCCCTGCTTCCTGTTAAACTGGATGGCTGCAACTCCTGTTTCAGCTAGCCTGGCAAAACACACCGAGTGAATGTGTGGAATTTGAATACTGGAATTTGAATATCAAATGCAGGGTGGTACAGCAGAAATCTCAGATGGAATGAGAGGCTGGAGATCTGCAGATCTGATGGGGAATGAAACCTTGGCACCTGGGCCCCGGGTGCTGATGTAGATGAGTCACCAAGCCTTGCATTAGACAGATGTATATCATAGAGCCCTGGGAGCTCAGGAGCCCTGGATGAAGAGCCCTGGGAGCTCTTCATCAGGAGGATGGAGGAAATCTGCTGGTTGGACATATAATTATAGCAGTAGGAGGGTTCGGCAGAAATAAAAGCAATGAAGAAAACCAGGGAGAAACTGCCGCAGTCTGCGTGTACGCGGCCAGTTTGGTTTCAGTTGGGTAGTAAAGCTGGATTAAAGTCTTGGATGTTAAAGAGCAAGCTTTGGGAAAAATCTATTTTGAACTGCAGCCTCCAAGAATAAATCCTCAGCACACATAACACATGTACAAAGGTTGGGGAGTCTGGTTTCCTCAGCTTTGCATTGGCTCTGGGTGGTTCAAGTAAAACCAATAAATCAAAGCTGTTTGAAATAGGGAGTGAGTAAGTACTTGAGATTTGAAATTCAGGCCAGTTTCTTTTGGATCCATGCTTTTAGGATGCATAAAAATAAAGGACTGCAGAGAGGACAGAGGTCTGTGTACTGCCTATATGCTGTGTTTGAGAGATCCAGCTGATTCTGTCCAGATCTTACTGAAACAGCGTGTTCCAGCTGAAGTGCAGGAGAGGAAATGCCTTTTAGTACCTTTAAGTGCAGAAGTTCATGGCTGAACAAACTAATTTCTGAAATGTGGGTTGTTATTATCTAAGTCTCTATCTTATTCTCATGCAGCAGCAATTCGCCTGGGAATTTGCCTCTCCCTTGGTCCCTATGCTGTTTAAAGAGGACGAAGGAGGTTTTGTGTGCTGCTAATTTGTTGTGGAGCTCCTCTTTTTCTCCTTTTGAATGAGAATAGATATGTACCTGCTGAGCTGCTCTTGAGTGTGAGTTTGGAAACCCTTGGGAGAAACCCTTCACCTGCAGTGGGGTGGGAGGAACATGACCTTTTTTCCCAATATAGCAAGTGCAGTGGTGCTTTTTGGCTGTAGACCTTTCTCTTGGCTTCCTGTGCCTGGCAAGCTGCCCCTTCTATGTTCTCTCTACATTTGACCCACGGCTCCCTTGGTCCATGACGTGATGCCTCTGCAAAACTGCCTTAACCTGCTGCTTCCATTCCAAATGAGATGTTCCAGTGAAAGACAAGTCCAAACTGCTGTCTGCTCCTGCATCTTGCTGGTTTTCAATCCTATTTTCCAGATGTCTTCCACTGCCTGCTCAGCTTTTCTGTTAGCTGGGTAAGCTCCATTTGTTTAATTATCTAACCTCATAACAGCTAGATTCTTGTTTTAGTAGCATATGAGCTTCTATTAGAGGAAGAATAATGCAGCTGTGCGTATATCCACAGTGGGATGAAGAATAAATTTCCAAATCTGTTACTGCTGCTTGCCTGTGAGATCACTGCAGGTGTAATGCTGGTGATCGGGTAGATGCTTGTGTGAAAATCATCTCTTTTGGTATGTTTTCCATACAGTCTTTGTGTAACTTCCAGGGTTGGCATATCCTGATGTCACCAAAGATGTGGAAAGCTCTGTTGAGCTGAGTTCTGGTAGCCTTTTAGGAAAAGCTGATATCTTGCCCATCAGATGCAGTAAAAGAGATGGGAATAGCCGAGTTGTACTGGACCATAGGAACCTTGAGTCCTATTTGCTGTTCAGTCACCCTGAGAACAGGGTTCCCTTTTGATCAGAACCAGTAATGAGCCTGTTGGGAGTTGTTTCCTCTATCCCTTGATAGATAATGATTCAAAGCCTCAAATGATGAGACAAACTTTTATTTATTAAAAAAAAAAAAGAAAAAAAGAAAAAAGAGATAAAAGAAAAAGCTAGTTGACATTCAGTAGTGTAACTCTAGGTAGCATGTCTGCCCTCTTTTGAATTCTGTTTTTGCTTTCAGTGGCCTCATTTCTTTATTTTATTCTAGCTACAATTCTGCATTTAAACATTTCTGCGCAACTGTTAATATGGAAACTGGCAATGGATATAGAAAAGACAGATGTTTCAGCCTGACAGGAGAGATTAGATTACTTAGTGAGTTGGGCATGTGTGAATAGGGGGGTTAAGTAAAGTCATACATCAGATAATCAAGAATGTCGATAGTGATTAGGAAGGAACTTTGCATTTGTGGGGAAAAAAATGGGAACTTTGGGGGTATTGAGGTTTTACATGGTATTTGGAAATTGGTGAATACTGTGCCTATATTTAAGGGGGGGAAAGTTGATATCTTCTGTTGTTAACAAAGGGTATATGTGACGGAATAAAGCTCTGGCAAACAACCTTTGTAGTGTGGTACTTATAGTCAATTTAGCTTGCCCTAATGAAGGATAATAACATTATTTGTATTTAAAGTGTTAATATGGAGGAAGCTTTTGAAAAATGCTGCGACTTGAAAGTAAATCTAAAAGTAAATCTGGAAATCTGGAAAGTTATTGTGCATGTTTTAACAGAGAACTAGATAACTAGCAATTATAGCAGATGGGGAATCTGGCTTTGAAAATAAACTAATTTCTCTAACTCATTTACAAGTTGAATTTTTTGCAGTTTGAGGAAAATGGTTGTGTTTCTGGGAGGGTATCTTCAGTCACTCGAAATGGAATAGCAGCAACAGTCATCAAAGCTGAGAGGTATCTTCCATGCAAAGAGCAACTGATTAAACTGGGACACTTCAGTCTGAGAGGAGATAAGTAACAGATACCTTCAAAATCTTGAATGACGTGGAAAGGTCAGAGGGAGAGCAACTCTTCCCTAGCAAGTATGAATAGGTATTGAATGCAGCCAACATGTACTAGCTTAAAACCAAGTGAAGACTTGGTCCTTGATGTGTGCAGTTAACGTGGTAAGCTTCTTGCCACAAGATGTTGTCAGTGCCAAACATCTATGTGTATTTGAGGACGTAGGGCGGTCCTATAGAGAAGGAATTATTTAGGGTTACTACATGCATAGAAAATATCTTGGTCTCAAGAAATCCCTATGCTGCACGTTATTGAAGTTTGGGAAAGTATTCAGAGAAATGCTGCTGTGTACTTCTTTCTTATGGCTTTGGGCTATTTGTCGGAGCCCGAACAACTGCAATCTGTGATTTATCAGTGGAAGAGGGAGAGAAAAAGACTTCTGAAAACTGAAAATGGCATAGCTGGCTCAGTTGCTTCTGTGCTGCATGTGCCTATTACTTGCTCAGATCATTGCTTGTGGACTACTGAAAGCTTCAGGCTGGCTTGGGTTTGAAGAGAGGTGGGCAGTGTTGGTCAGGAAAATGAAGCGAGGTCGGAAGGGCAGTGTGAAGAGTCTATTAGCTGAACAGTTGCTGAGTTAGCTGCCTTCCCATCTGTAGGGAGCTGTTGGGTGCTGTTCCTCGTTTTCCAGTTGCTGACGAGCTTTGCTGCTTTGGGGAATGCAAAGCTGCCTGCTAGCAGTGGGATGACTAGAGGCATGTTCCTGGAGGTATGTCCCTATGACTGAAAACAGTTGAATTAACATACTTGAGAAATTACAGCTCCTCTGTGAAGACACAAACCAACTGTTTGCTTTGGCCTTAGCTAAATGCCCGCACTAACTTTTGTTCCCCTCCTGTTGGTAGTTATGTTATCTTCTTAACATATTGCATCCATTTAGTCAGCATTTTGGTGCAAGAAGTCATGTTTCTACCTAAACAGAAGTTTCCTTGGTGGGAAGATTCCTTCCCCAGTGGGTCCTGCGGAGGACTCAATTGCCACAGCATTTAGAGGGTGACTTTCTTGTTGCACTCTTTTCTTCAGTTATTTTTTTATCAGTAGCTACGTGTTCCAGCAATAACTCTGTTCTTGTCACAGGGTGCTGGACATGTCTCCCATTTTCCGTGTAGTCTGTCAGGATCAGATTTAGTTAAACTCAGTCTTTAACTTGTGTGATCTTTTCCATTGCTAGCTGTTCTGTGATTTCAAGTAGTCTTTCCCTCTAAGCCCTGAGAAGGTTTAATTTAAAATAGTTAATGCTGTTGATTGTGAGCCAGCCCCGCTCTGAACAGTCTCTTAGGTTCACATTAAGTAGCTGATTGCTGCTCAGTTTGGTCATTTTATGTCCCTCTCGAGTGCCATCAGAGACGTATTTTTGTAGTTCTTGATTAGTTACCAGTGTCATGGCAAAAATCGACATTTTCCTTTCCCAGAGGAAGACACAGTCCCGGCTATGAGGAGTATAGTGCTTAAAATGACCGAGGAAGGGCGTGTGGAGCTGGCTGAGCCTGCAAGCTGTGGTCACCACGGGCTACAGTTTGTGTCTTCAGTGTGGATGTGCGGATTGCTGCTCCATTCCCCTCGCCAGCTTCCCTGCCCTGGCCAGCCGTTCCCTCCTGTAAAAGCAGCCACTCGGAAGCAAAACAAACAGGGCAGAGGCCGATAGAGCTGGGTGGCGAGCAGGATGCTCGGAAGAGGAGGACGTGTCTGGAGAAGAGCAGCTGTGGAGCAGGTAGTGGAC